GTATCTCCTAGTTTCATTACGATCCGGAATCTAATGTCATGTTTGATATGTGGTTTCGACGTTACGAAGACTTATTCAAATTTGATTTCGCTAACCAGGATGATACTTGGAAGGTCCGCTCGCTGCTTCAAAAGTTGGGTCCTAGTGGACTCGACAGGTGTTGCAACCTAATTATGCCTTTAAACCCACGCAATCGCTCATCCTCGGACACTGTCCAGTCATTGAGCCAACAATTCGGAAACAACTCCTCACTATTCAATGAGTGCTATCGATGTTTGAAGCTAACTATGAACGAAGATGCTGATTTTCTCACACATATGGATATCGTCAATCGAGAATGCGAACGCTTCCGGTTGAAGTCGCTTACTGAAGATCAATTTAAAGCCCTTATTCTTATCTGAAGCCTTCAATCGCAGAAGTTCAGTGACATTAGAACGCGCTTGCAAAGTCGATTGGACCAAGACCAAAAACTAACCCTTAGTTATATTTCAAACGAATATCAACGCCTAATCAATCTACAGCGTAAGACTACGATGGTCCAGCGTGGTGTTTGAGACCGTACCGAAGTTCATGTAGTCCAAAAACTAATCAACTCAAATAAATCTGCCCCAGCGTCACCTAGTTCAGGTCAATAGACAAAAACAAATCCTCCTGTCCCATGCTGGCATTGCGGTGTTCGAAACCGCGGTGTAAATAAAGTCGGTGCAGGAAATGTAATGCGGTGGGTAATAAAGATGGATTTTGTCGAAAAAAGAAGCCGAGCAGCTTCAGAGGTACCAGAAAACCTACGCCTAGATCCAACACGAATTAATTGAGCCTAATAGCAAGCTGTCAGAACTCAACCGCGGGTGAGAGTAAAATTATCACCCGTAATATTGATGGGCACCCGTTTAGATTGCAAATATATACTGAATCTGACGTAACAATTCTCTCACGAAAATATTGGATCAGAATGGGAAGACCACGAACGATGCCAGCAACACAGAGACCTCGAACTGCATGCGGTAATTATCAACGTTTGTTGGGACAGCCAGATTTTAAAGTATCATTTCACGATTCGACGTTTACCGAGTATGGTTACATAACACCATGTGATCTTAATTTACTTGATTTAGATCGGTTTGACGGGCTACATTTAGCTGACGCCCCGTTAAGCACCGTATGCCATCTGGTGAAACAACCTCATGAACCTGAAGCATATTCGAAAGGACTAATGACGCAGTGTTCAGCCATTTTCTAGCCCGTAATGGGTCAGTGCACTGCTATGAAAGCAACACTTCGGTTAAAACTTGGAGCTAAACCTGTGTTCCGTCCAAAGAGATCAGTGCCGTACACAGAACAATCGAAAGTTGACGAAGAACTGAACCGCCTTCAACTACAGGGAGTTATTACACCTGTTTCTTTTTCTGTCTGGGCAACGTCTATTATGGTTATTAAGAAAGTTAATGGCACAACCCGAGGATGCGCAGATTCTTCCACAGGTTTTAACGCAGGTATCGATCAGCATAATTACCCACTGCCAGTCCCTGCAGATTTGTTCACGATGTTAAATGGCAGGAAGTTCTTTGCAAAGCATGATCTCGCTGATACCTATCTACAAATGGAAGTAGCTGAGGGTTTGAGAGAGTTACATACCATAAATACTCATGATGGCTTGTTTCAGTACAATCGCCGACCATTTGGAGTTAAAACAGCTCCAGCTATGTCTCGGCAACTAATGGGTACCATTCTATCGAGTATCCCGGTGGTTGTAACTTATCTCGATGATATCTTAATTGTTGTCACATCGTTAGAACAGCTTCGAGAACGCACGACAGCTGTACTACAACGCATCAGCGATATCAGATTCCGATTACTCCAAGAAAAATGCCAGCTTTTCTTGAAGTCAGTTAAATAATTAGGATTCGTCTTTGAAGCCACAGGTGGCAGACCAGATCCTGAAAACATCCGAGCTATAAAACTGATGCCGAATCCCACTAATATCTCTGAGCTAGGATCATTCCTGGGATTAATTAGCTACTACTTAGCTTTTAATCCATCGATGCATGACATACGCGTCCCGCTAAATCATCTTCTGAATAAGAATACTATTTATTGTTATTATTCACAAACATCTTATGGGTACATAAGTGTTGTGAAGAAACCATTTCGGGTTTCTTCAGAAAATGCAATAATACACAATTTTCACCAATGTTAGCATTATACTTGCCATATTTAAAAAAAATTAGAATAATAATAGTAGAATATTAATAATAACAAATCGGGTCTGTGTAATTAAGAAGAATATTGAATTGAGCTTCAAGAAGGAAATGGAGAAAATAAGGGAATAGAAATAAAGGAGACGTGTAATACTCAAACAGTGTAATAGGCGTGTTTATAAACACAGAACAAGAATAAACGACTATGTGTGTATCGTTAAATTAGTAACAAAAAATAATTTATCATTGTAGTAAGATATGACGCTAGAATAAATGTTTGTGCAGTTATAGTTTGAAGTGATGCTATGAAAGTCACAATTAAGTGAAAAGGATAATAAAATATCACTATGTATGAGTCATATATGCATAGTGAAGATAAAACGAATCTGAGAAGTTAATTTAAATGTAACACAAGTTATTGTCTTAATTACAAACTTCTTAATCTTAAGAATAAGATTTATTTAGAAGGGAAGAAGAGAGAGGAAAGAAGTTAACACCTAGTGAAAATTTTCATCCATGATAAGAATAATAATTGTGTAATGAATATCAACCTCAGAAGGAAACCAGCAATTAAAATAAAAATAAAAATCCTTTATTTGGCACTGGACAAAAGAATGTGAAGCTGCATTTTGCAAGCTGAGAGCAATCATAAGATCTGAACTATTGCTGACACAATACGATGCGTCCATGCCTATCATTGTTGCTGCAGACGCCCTCAGCCTTTGGACTCGGTGCTGTCATCTAACATCAGTTCACGGACTCAACAGAGAAAACTATTATGCATGCATCTAGCACATTAACTTCATCGGAAAGAAAGTACAGTCAAATAGAGAAAGAGGCTCTCGCCCTTGTGTTTGCAGTACGCCGTTTCCACAAATTCCTGTACGGTCAAAAATTTACTCTTTTCACAATTTTGGGTTCAAAATCTGGTGTTCCAGCCCATTCTGCAAACGGTCTTCAGCGATGAGCTTTGATACTTTTGGTTGTGATTATGACATTCAGTACTGGCGCACCCAACAGTTCGGTCAGGCTGAGGCCTTGTCAAGACTTAGCGATGAACACCATACGGCCGGCGAAGATGCAGTTATTGTCTTTCTAATGACAAAGGACCATGTGCAATTTTACCTGACAACCGCTATTAGTGCTTTGCCAGTCTCAGCAGCTGAAATACAATCTGCATTGAAGAACGACTCCACCATAAAGAGAGCGATGAAATACGTCATCAATGGCTGGCTGCCATATGGACTCGATGGGGACTTGAGGAAGCTTCACCACCGTCTGTAGTCATTGTGTCGTAAACGAATGCTTGATGATCGAAGATAGAGTAGTGGTTCCAGAGTCCCTAAGATCAAGGGTGCTAAAGCAATTCCACACTGGTCATCCTGGTATAAAACGGATGAAATCCATCGCCAGAAGCTATGCTTATTGGCCCCTCATAGACCAACATATTGTGGATTTAGTAAGCAAGTGCACACAAAGTCAGCAAGCGGCCAAGTGTAACGCGAAAGTACTGCCGGTCCCATGGCCACAGCCTGAGTATCTCTGGTCCAGGAAACATGTCGATTTCAATTATTGGAATCACCTTACTAGTCGTTGTTGACGCCTTTTCGAAATGGCTAGAAATCGTCCTCGTCATGCCACCAACGACAACCCAAACGATGCAACATTTGACAGAGATGTTCTCCCGCAAGCGACTGCCGGATGTAATCGTATCCGACAGTGGTTCGCAGTACACCTCAAGTTAATTTCTGCAAACGCCTGTCGATCAAAGCATTTCCGCTCTCCATCGTACCACCTGCAATCAAACGGACAAGCAGAAAGATTTGTGGATACATTCAAGAGACCTCTAATGAAGTCGGACCCGGCAGAAATCCTGATGGGAAGGAAATTGAGGACGTTCCATGGTCTGATGTGCCCAAGAACCACACCACCACCATCTCAGACCAAATTTCAGAAGCTGCCAGTGTACGAGGTTGGATGCTCGGTGTCCGCTCGAGACTACAGAGCAAATCACGGTCCTTGGATCAAAGCACCTGTGGTTGGAATACTAGGCCAAGTTATGTACGAGGTAAAGGTGGGAAGAGACATGTGGACTAAACACCGAAACCAACTAAGAAAGCAGATAGCATCAGACCGCCCATCAACAGAAGTAAATCTTCCTCTTGACATCCTGCTTGATACCTTCAACTTACCAGCGGCCACCACGAGAAGAAGCTTAAAAACAAGCTGATCTCCGTTCCAGAAGTTGGCCTATCCGAAAGTGGCGAGCAACAGTCAGGATGCAAGTCGGCCCCAGGAAAGCACGCTAATAAAAAGGGGGGAGTGTTGGAGACAATAAATCTCCAAAACTCATATTTTGTGATTTTATCTGTGTAGAGCTTGTATGCAGATGTATGCTTGGTTATTTCTTACCACCCACGCGCATAGTCGATTGAAGAGCTTATCGATTAAATGTTTAAATATTTTAATAGGAGTCGATTGACTAAATTATCGATTAAATGTTTAAAAAATCTTCCATGGCAATACTATTTTATAGATATATGTTTTGAATTGTGTTTGTGTGATCGATCGTTGCTGGCTGTTTTGCAGAATATTTATATATATAAGAATATACCATCAGTTATAAGCAGAGAATGTACACTAGGGGAGTAAGTTCGAAGAAACATTAGTAGACTTCGTAAGCATGGCTCTTGTTCCTCACCCTTTTGAATGAACTGTGTCAAAATATTAAGCAAACAGTTGGCACGACAAGAAAAATTAGGAATGAAGCGGGAATAGTATTGAAGAGCACCCACTAGTAAATATCACAATCAGCATTGAATATTCAACAATTAGAGCGAACAAGTAATTATTTACGAGTAAAAATTGACCAAGATAACTGTATGCATATACATATTTAATAGGTTATTAAGGTATGTTTTCCTAATCATTTTCTCTGTAATTATTCAGTTCATTCATGAATTCCCATTTAATTGCAGTAATAAATCTCTCTGTTGTTGTTGATGTATTTTCTTGATGGAAACCTTTCATTTTTATAGGATGTAAATAGTAGTTCTTAAACAACTCAGTAACGGAATAAATTAGTCATTCATTAATGGCACTATTATTGTTCGGTAGTTTTATTCTCAACTAATTACGATTTCAAAACAGTGTTTATAAACATGTTTGTATTGCTTGCTTAACTAGAGTAAAGATATTCGGAAAGTTGTTTCGAGAGTTTACTAAACACGATAGGGCGCAATGAGAGTTTAGATTGGTGGCAGTTGGTTGGTTATTCCCACTGTGTCCTGTTATCTTTTCTGTTGGTCTAAAGATTTTCTTACGATATTTTAGGAACAATAAAGCCTGGAAGTAAAATATCATTATAAATTTCACCCTGTTATATCATAGTTACTAAAGCAACTGAAGATGAAAATAGATCCCGTCATGACACAGTCACTTTATATAGTGACATGTTAAATAACTCCATTGTTTCATCTACTCATCCGATAGACAGCCAATAAATCATCTAGATGTTTCTGATACCTCGGTAATTATTTCGAAGAATAGCTGGTCACTTTCCAGTGTCAAATCAGTGTTGTGGTTATTAGTGTCACGGATTGACATTGATTAAGGCCTCATAGGCTTCACTCCGTTAATTCAATACAAATTCATTACTGTTATTTCTTTGAAAGATGTGTGTAAAGAATATTCCATGCATCTTTTTGAATCTATTCTTTCCCATAAGTAAGAGCTTTATGATGGTTTGGAAAACTCAAATAGACAAGCTCATGAAGTATTTTCGTTATTACACAACAGTGTCATGATCTACCTAACTTTACAGTTCTTTGACACAACACCCAACAACATGAAAAAGTACTTATTTGGTTAAGACATCAAAAACGAAATTTCATCCTGACAGAATTGGTCGGCCTTTCAATCTTCCACAATTTTCTCGTTGATATTTACTCAACAATGATATTACCAGTATGCGGAGCTAGAGCAAACGACACGCACACTGAGCTATGATGTTTGTGAGTGACATTCAGCGATTAAATAATGGAAGAAAGTCCCATGGATAATCGTAAATTGATAAGCATTAAAGATGTTTCGATGTTTTCCTAAACTGGTCCAAAACGTGTAAAATAACTAGAAGAAAGTCTTAGGTCTAATACCGATCTCATAAGGACATGTACTGTGGATACATGGTGAACGATTTCTAGTTTGTACTTTAAGCTTATAACGTTTTGTTCTAGGCTGAGATAATTCACAATTCTATCCTGTTTACAAAAGCAGTGATTAATAGTATGGGAGGATTTCCATCTTCACAAACGCCTTGCTACATATGTACTGCAACTGTGTTTGGAAAACTCACAGAAAATCATAAGACAGGTGTATTCGAACGGTAATTTAAATATCTGCAGATACGAAGCAGATATGAACGGTTTGATTCGATCGTTGTTTTCGTAAAAGTATTTTGATGAGAAGCGTCCATTTCAATTCGTAATAGTTTGTAGGAGATATATAGTTAATCATATAACTACTTATTCCAGTTGATATAACGACTCAGTCATGACCACTTTCGGAGATGGAATTAGTTGAATCAAAGCCTGACAAATGAACAGATAATAGAAGACAGAACACAACACTAGACAATGTTCAGGTTTTCTTATTATAAAATACTTTTAAGCAAAATGCTGGGAAGGAAACTGGACCTGTTTCAGTGTTATCAAGACAATATAGTCAACAGTGAGCTGTGATGCGTTTGTCATTTATTGGCAAATGAAATTGAGAATCCACAATTACTTTTAATTCTTGTTAGTAATGAGGATGGGACCATCAATGTTCATTTATTCATTCATTCGAGCGATATTGTGACGACGTTTTGCACTACTTTGAACATGTATATCGTGGGGAGCAGAGATTTGTTAGATAACTATTGAGAAATGGAGACTATGGGACAACAGTTCGATCCTAGCTAGAGGCTCTTTGACTGTACTACCCATCAACAACTCACACAAAGATTTAAATCTACGACCTTAATGTTTTATGATAAGTCTGATACTTCCAAGTCAATGGATAAATTCCATCCGATATGCGGTATGACACGATCTTCATCTTCACAAATAATCAGTTTTGAAGTGTGCTTCGTAAATTCTTTTGAGAAGCATAAAACCTTTAAATTTCACTGTGTCGGGAGTGATGCTACTATTCCAATGACGACACAGTAAGGGTTTGTATTCTCTCGTCGTTGTTTACATTTATGATTGGTTGGTCCTCACTGATACGTGTGCATCCGGAGTGGAATACTCCGATAAGTTTTAGGGGTTGCAGGCACATCTACTTGGCTAGTGGCTAAGTGGATTCTACTATTAGCCATTATCTGATTTGAATCGTAATTTGAACGTTCTGCTAATCCATTGCTTAGACTAGATAAGTTATCATTCGCTTCAATGGATTACGAATTGATAATCTAGTTATTATTTAATAATTGTCAATAGAGGAACATCCTCGATGTTTGTCAAATGCTTCATTGTTCTCTTTACATGAAACACTAAGATTTCACACTAAGTAGATAGTCATTTCATGTTTGATTTATTGTTTTTATTTTATGAGTTATCATTGTTTGATTGGAACACACATGCCAAATATCTTGATACCACCTCTGTACTTTAAGCTGAGTGGCTTAAAGACACAACAACTATTATCATTATTATTATTATTACAATCCCCGTCAACCGACTTACCAATCTTTCCTAATACCGTGTGGCTGACCTCAATATTATTCACTTGATAGTTCAAACATATGAGCAGTGGATTCTACTATTAGCCATTATCTGATTTGAATTGTAATTTGAAAGTTCTGCTTATCCATCGCCTAGACGAGATGGTGAGGCTATAATTTATGTATGACATTTGAGCGACGCTAAGCTTACCTCGAGAGTATCTACCTGATAACTAAGATAGGATGAGGGTTATAATTTAGTGTGAGGAATTCGAATTCTGATTTACAGTTGATAGTTAAGGTTAGGAGATAGATTTAGGGTTTTCATCACGTATTGACATCAGTTATAATGCCATGAATCTATTTAGCCAGATGGATGAGTGAATTTCGAGGCCAAAATCCGAGATCTGCTGTCTTATATCTGATTGGTTCGTCTATAAATTATAAGTTAACCTTCATTTCAATGGATTATAAATTGATAATCTAGTTATTAATTAGTAATTGTCAATAGAGGAACATCCTCGGTGTTTGTCAAATGCTTCATTATTCTCTTTACATGAAACACTAAGATTACACACTAAGTAGATGGTCATTTCATGTTTGATTTATTGTTTTTATTTTGTGAGTTATCATTGTTTGATCGTAACACACAATTATGTGAAATGAAAATGTTATAAAACTATTTATTTTGACATATTCATTCAATTTCTCGCTGTAATTGTAATCCTTTTTGAATCGTATACTTTCAGATCTGTTCGTGAGTCTTTCATCAAATGTTTTTGATCAATAGTAATAATAACAATAGTAATAATAATTGCAATGTCTACACAAGATAGTTTGGTTATAAGTGGACAGTTAGAAATATATCTCCGTAATACATGGATACCAATCAAAGCAACTTTGCAAAATGATGCTTTGGTTATTGAATTGGAACACACTCCAAGTATTTCTAGCAATCACCACGGTTAGTTTAAATTTGATGTGTTGTAAACGTTTAATTTAAGAGTTCAGGGAAAGATGAAAATAAATATTCGTTCGCCCTATTTGTTTTTGTCTAAGTGTTAAAATGGGAACTTCCTCTTTTACAGTATATTCAATTAGGTACTGCACCATCCATCACAGTGGTATGCAAAATAAAATGATTCTTAATATCATTCTGTTCAAATAAGCAAACTAATGTTTGATAGATGTTTTGGGGAGGGGCAACTGTTGTTATGTCCTAGTGAAAATCAAATTATGGGTAACTTCCGAGAACTATTAATGGACTAATATTATATATATATATATATATATATATATATATATATATATATATATATATATATATGTTCAGTAACTAGATTATGGATATCTATATTCCTTTTATTATAAGCTTCATTTTGACCTATAGATTATTATTATACAACTTACTGTTCTTAAATTATGTTCATTTTATTAATTGCCGTCTCCCACAATCACAGCCACATTTTGGCTAGATCTGGTGTAAATGTTATATCCTATTTTATGATGTCATGAGGTCTGTTTGGCTTGTATATAAACCAAGTATGTTTTGAATAGAGTATTCACATAGTGTAGGCTGCTGTTGGTGTTCTGGATTCAACTGAACGTGCTAGGCGAACAAAGGACTAATAAGGACGCTGGGCTTCTCATACCTGTCGAACGTCACTGGTTTAACACAGTACTAAGATTGAATAAGTCCTATTTCGATTAGCGAATAAACCACGTGATGACTAGCCGGGCTTAAAGACACAACAACAATTATTATTGCTGTTATTAGCTTTCTTATTATCAGAACAGTCACTGATATCTTCTTGCCAAACCATGCTAAGTATTTCGACAGTACCTCTGTACTTTAAGCTGAGTGCCTTCATGGTGAATGGAGTTACAGTGAGTGACAGTGTTGAAGTTCTCAATATTACTTTGCCAGTGGGGGACAAAAACATAGGAAATTGAATAGTTGAAATGTTTCTAATAACCTCAAGTATATTTTTATTTGTGATTTTAAGTGAAGGTGACTTTCCTTTTTACTAGTTTCAGTTATGAAGAGCGAGTGCGTCCGCTCCACGGTGACTGATTTTGAGACATGTCACCTAGTGTATTCAACCACAGATAACAGTTGTAACATTGACCCCAAACACGTAGTCTGCATCAATCTACATGGTTCAGATAACCACTTATTGATTGATGCCGTGTATTGACCCGGTCGAGCCTAGATTTCTTCTAACCTACTCCCACATCAAAAAACATCGTCCATCCAGGTGGTCGATGATTATGGATACGTGACGCATGTCCTAGCTACTTCAGTCGATGAGAAATTACAACCCCGTCAACCGACTTGCCAACCTTTCCTAGTACCGTGTGGCTGACCTCAATATTATTAACTCGATAGTCCAGAAATATACGGGCAATGCTCCAGAGATACCGTTGAAAAGAAGCCTGAAGCCTACACTTGTGTTCATCTTTCAAATACCATGTTTCACAGTAAAAGAGCAATACAAAGCGAATTGTTGTATAGTAAAGTAATTTTAAATTATTAAACTGCACTTATATTGAGTAGGATCGGTAATCACTTTTAATCGACGCTTTTTCTGATGCCTATGAATAATTCCAACACTATGGGTAGACATTTTTGATTAGATCATGAGAAAAGCACAACCTTTTCCTTAAACTCTCCATAAGGTCAATTTTTGAGGTTAGCTTTATTTCTTATGAACAGCGCTTATGTGTAAATGTTCTTATTGTGTTTTGGATTTGTTGTTATGGTAACAGTATGACATTCGTGTAGACTGACTTGAAGAACACATTTGTTGTAATACTACATGTCCAGTTACTTATTTCTGTTATCCTCGTGGAGCATAGGTCATTGACAAGGATTCTTCAACCAACTCTGTCCTGTTCTTTCCTTTCCAGTTGTTCACAAGTGCTATTTATTCTTTTGATATCTACCTATAATTCCAGACTCAATATGTTATTTGGTCTGACCCGTTTCCTTTCTCATTGAGGATTCCGAGTTAAAATACCCTTAGTAACATACACTTTTGACTCCGGGATCTCATTGTCTCCAGTCTTTACGGTTAGCACAATATTAGTGAACCATTAAGTTTGATTAAACTATACCGTTAACCATGAAATTTGTAGGTTGTACATCTGATCTCACAAAACGTTTCAAGTGTTCACTTGTAAGAAGTCTGAAATATGTTGAATGCTTCTCAGATTACTATGATTATTTCAGCTGATATTAATTTTTGACGGAACATATTTTTAAAACGCTATCTAATCGAGATATCGTTAAGTGCATGTGACGTATGAATTAAAAAAATTGCTTTCTAATTTAATTCAGATCAAGAATATTCTGTCTATTTATCATTGTTTGACTTCATTTTTAATATTTTGATGTTGTTTTACGGCTGAATAAACATGCAATGCGACTAAAAGTAAATGTTTATTGATTAATAAAGAGAGATAAATAGTTAGACAGATAAATGGAGAATAAAAATATCGAAGAAAGTCTATCTTTTATTAACGTTTAAATTAACATAACTCAAGCTGTTCGATATGATTATTAGCACATGATATATATATATATATATATATATATATAGTTGCAGGTATCTGAAAATTCCAGTGAACATTTAGAGCAAAACTATGTTAACAATCACACGATAAATTTGTCGTTGAATTTCCATTATTTCATTTCAGTTACTTTGTCTTGAACACACTGTCAGATTACGAAATTTAGTATTGTATTGTGATTGATATAAACTCAGAGTTTATATAACCCTCATCAAAAAGATTAACTCTGTTGTTATCAGTATGCCTAAATTAACAATATTTCCGAATTTGTATTGTTAATAAATGAAGTTATATTTATTACAGATTGGAAGACTAACTTAACTGATAGTCCCAACACTGTATTTTGTGAATTTTAGTACTTACTGAAATCATGAAGACATTCATGGTGCCACATGAATTTAAACCTGTGCTACTTGGCTCCTATATCATAAATATTACTAATGAGTAGCTCAAGTGTATCTTCCTATCATTTGTACAAGGGCCATGTTCGTAATTTTGTTACTAAAAACTAACCAATGTTTCAGACACTAACTTAGTGCTTATTGAGATTCATTAATAACATTTATGGAACCTCAAAGCAATGTACTCTTATTCACTCCGAAAGAAAATACTATCAAATGAATCTATTTAAATTTTTAAACTAAGTCATTATAATTTAAAGGAAGTCACATTTACTACTATCAAATAAAATTGCAGTCATGAAGTTTATTTAATGGGATATTCAATAAGTGAACCACTTTCAAAACTTATGTATGCATTTAGATTGCATAAAAAATGACGAAGTATGATTGGATAATTTTTCATATTAAAACAGAGTGGTGTTGGAATTTTTGAAAAAAAACTGAAGACTTTATTGGTGAAACATGGAGTAAATAGTTTACAAAATTCACAAAGAGTGAAGTTCTTGGAAGCATGTATACTAAACAGAATTACTAAACAATAAATGACATATTCATAAAGAAAAATTGATTCAGTGAACCGTATTTCTTTCTTAATAACTTATTGGATTTCTTTAGTTAGTTCAGTAATTGTTATACTGTAATCGCAAACATTGAAGTGACTTCTTTTTGACCAGTTCATCATATTATTTTTAAAATTAAAATTAAACTCTAAGAATTAAGTTTATCAGAACGAATGTGATTTTGGAACTATTTGATCATTTATTTCATGGGTTGGTTGAGGTTAGACATCAGCACCGTTGGGTGCCGGCTTAGTGGTTTAGAGGTTAAGCGTTCGCGCGCAAGACTGAAGGCTCCGGATTCGAGTCCCGCTAGCAGGATCGTGGATGCGCACTGCTGAGGAGTCTCACGATAAAACGAAATGGCCGTCCGTTGCTTCCAGGTTTTACATAGTGGTCTAACATCAATCGATTCATGATCTCAATCAAAAACTTAATCCTTACAACCCCATACTGATATTTATTTATATTTCAAGATTTGCAAATATGGACTACAAAGATCAAACTAGAGATAAAATGAAATATGTATTAGCTTCATATATTACATAGTTTTAATAAAAAACATCTACTCATCGAAGTACTGAAATTTGTCAAATGGGCCAATCGTTTTAAACCTCCAGAATTAAGCTTTAATTAAATACTACTACCTTTGATAAATAGTTTTAATCATTTACTGACTTCAGTTGAAAAAATATTCAAAATCAAGAAATATCAGGCTACTGTATCGTTTTAATTTGATACTTTTTAGAAGTACATACTGACAAAATGACCAGGTACATTTTTTTAAATGAACAATCTACACAATTCCTTTGTTTATGAACTATATTTATCGCAAATTTATTACAGTCTAGCTAAGTCAAAATAAATACTCAATCTTTATCATTCTTCGCTATTCTACTCATAATTTATACCGTGTACTTATACATATTTTCTGTACCAGAAGATATTTCCACTGCAAAACGTCTGGTACGTATAACAAAAGAAGAACTAAATGGTCTAGGAATCAGTATTAAAGGTGGTAGAGAAAATAAGACACCAATTCTAATCAGTAAAATATTTAAGGTAAGTAAAAAACACTACCACTGCTGAATAATTATTTAACTAGTGTCTATTTTGCTGAGAAATATCATGGTAATATATATATATATATATATATATATATATATATATATATATATATATATATATATATATATATATATATATATATATATATATATCGAAATTGGCTATGTAAAGTAGCATTAAAAATGACATTTTTTAAATATTTCAAAATCAGTTTATAAAAACTTAAGTTCTAAAGTAAATGAAGCACAAAGTAGCTTTTTATGCAGTCTAAAATGTATAATAATTCAAGTTTATCGTAAAAAAAAAGGAAGCGATCTCACACAAATGTACTTAAAACTTAATTTGATGAAACCAGTTGGATTAATTAATCTTTTCTTCACAGGTTGAAATCAAGAGTCAGTTGAAGCTAGACCACCATTGAAAACCTGGAAGCACTGGACGGCCGTTTCGTCCTGGTATGGGACTCCTCAGCAGTGCGCATCCACGATCCCGCACCACGCGGGTTTTCAATGATGGTCTAGCTTCAACTGACTCATGATTTTAACCTGTGAAATTTCTTAAACTCTCCACAAAACCCATTCTGATAATAATCTTTTCTTATTAAACAATAGTATCTTTCTAATTTCATGAATAATTTTTGTGTAACCTTAAATGGATAGTTAAAGTTATGTAATATTTCAAGAGTACTCTCTTTTACAATAATCAACGAGTCATGCAAGATAACCTATCAACGAATCGACTTATTAATGTAAGAAGCACGTAATCAGAAATGTTTCATCTTCAAAAGTTTTCAGTATAAAATAAGACAGTAAACTATGCTTTTATTCACATAAAAAGATATGTATAATTGTAAATTCAGATTAGGCAATTTATTCACGGTCGTTTGAACTCCTCTGGCATATTACAAACATGTTTTGCTTCAATTGACAAGTTTGTAGATAAGAATTACTTGTTTCATGAAATAATTTATAGTATAGGAAGATGTGACCTGTAATTCTACATAATAATAGTACTGTTCTTAGTTCCGAGATCGATTTTAAATTTTCAATTTACGGTCCTAAATTATCAACGACTTAACAAGGAAGGATATACAAACCGGGAGACACTAAGAGATCGATTGTATTACTATCATTATTATTTGTTATTAGTCCTCATGACAACTATTTACATACCGTTTGAGAAGACAAGAAGAGAGGGTATTACGTAATGATGTGTACTTGTACGTACTGGAGAATGAGGCGGAGTAAAGATGATTAATACAAGTTACTTAAAAAGCCGAGAACGTGTCTCTTGTTATTGAGGTCTCATGTTTTTTATTAATAAATATGATCTAAAAAACAACCTGCTTCATATTGATTCCAAGTTGGTAATCAGTTAGTTTTTTCAACAACTGTAAATATGAGGTTACTAAGTATTTGTATTATATTGAGTTAATCAGTCGATTGATGATCTCAATATGGCTATCCTGATATGTGTGTGAATGTGTACACATATGTTTGTATACGTGAAAACCGTCAGGTGGTTGCATAAAGTAGTTTTGTTTACAAGAACAAATAGATCAGCTCTAAACTCATCAGAAAATATATATTGGTAATTCTTCTAGCTCTTAATTTTTCAGATAATGCATGGCATTTTAGTCAAATAAATATTTATTATTTCATTTTCATTCATTGGATTCAGGGTATGGCAGCTGAACAAACTGGTCAACTGAATGTTGGTGATGCAATATTATCTGTAAATGGTGAAGATCTACGGAATAGTACACATGATGAAGCAGTTCGGGCATTAAAACGTGCTGGACGGATTGTTGAATTAGAAGTAAAACATATGCATGAAGTGACACCGTATTTTCGAAGGTAATTTTTTATAGTCATCAATACATTGGTTTTATACCATATTGTATAAAATCAGTAAGGTCATTCAATGCAACTTTGATCAATTAGCTTCTATTTTATGTTCCGTAGAGATAATTTTTTTGTTTTATTTATCATTGACTTAACAAAGAAATTGATGCTGAATGTAACTAGAAATGGAAATTTGGATATTGCTAAGTTCTAAAGTCTACTAGGAATCACTATGATTTTTAGCTCTCTTCATTTATGCAGTGTATATCAGAAAGAGAATATATATATATATCACAAATCAAACGAAACGTCATTTCGTCAATACCAGTGACCTATTTGAAATGAGTTATTGACGTTTTACTATGAAATCTTGACCACTGGAGTTCAGACATGTCGATAGTGAAACAGCCGCCACACATTTGTTACACTTGAAGCCAACTCAATGGTCTAAAGATTATGTGCTCTCCACGAAACCTGATCTAATATTCAACCTTCGGTTACGTTGCTGGTTCAGACTGCTGAGGAACCTTATTTAACAGTTACCTAATGCTTTCTGGTTTCCACTAGTACCCCTTTTGAGATCATTCTGTGACGAATACCGCCTACAAATATTTATATTCAAAATTGTAACTATAAAATAAAATTGATTATATTAAGTCTTTCCATCACAAATGACAGCTGTTCAAGCTTTAAAGAATTGTTTATTTGAATACTACAATTAATATGCAGAATTAATTGTTTAACCATGTAAATAGGATCAACTTATTAAAATAAATCAATCGCTTAAGAGTCATTGTTTAACTGGTTTTTGGTAGAATATAGTTAGAGCAAGCATTTTAAGCAGAAATGATTAGTAGCAAGCAGTGAAATCCAAGACTCGCGTTTCGTTCTCCTTGGGTCTCATCATGCCGGAGTTAATGCTCACTTGTGACTCGAACACAGTACTGTTCGCTCCATACTCTATCCCGTTATCCACTTGGCTATTGAGTCCAGACAGTCACCGGCTCGTGCAGTGGATTCAATTTCTGGCCATCATCTATCGCTGCTTAAAATGCTAGTAACTTACTGGCAATGTCGAGGTGACTCGCAAAAGATGCACATATGACAAAAATGACTTATCAGTTACAGTCCTAAACATCAGTGGGAAGGTCCAAACAACCAATATATGTGAATTAAAATTATGATTAAGACAAGTTGAAATTTGGAGACTAGATACATTTTCCAAATATTGCTTCCAAAATTCAACATTTTCTGATTTCATTGTAAAGTATAAGCCACCAAGTATTTGGACAAAGTGTAGGAGAAGCTGTAAGGTCAACTGAATAATATATGGCTGAGGGGATGAGTTTCTAACCTTATTTCTCATGATGAGTCATATTATTGTCATTAGTTTAGCTTGTTTACTCTTTGTTTCCTTCTGATTTATATTTCTTGCCAACAAAAATATTTATTTAGTAACTTCACTAATAAAGGTCTCATCATTCGTACTCAATCACAACCACATTAGATTTTAACCTTCAGATCACTGAGTTTCGATCCAACGATTTATATTTCTAACCTCTATCAGTACGTGTTATTGCACCATCATCATCCATTACCATTGGTAATATTTATCTGAAACCTGACTTGGTTGAACTCTTACGGTCAAGACTTCGCACTAAAACTTCAGGAGTTAGTTCTCGAGATCAGTGAGGTTTAAAGCTAGTTTTTTTCATGCATTGACATAAAGTTAAGTTAATATTGAAAATTAGGAAGCACTGAATAGTTTCACACATTTTTATTGTTAAATACAATGCATTCTATACAAGTTTGTGACTATGGGCTTCAAACCTCATGATGGCAACATGTAATGGTGAATTGTTATGTTTAACGCCAAGGGCGTTTTCTAATTGGATTATAAAAAAAATAGAATTACTTGGAAATAATAAATGTAGTGAAAATAAATCTATTATCAATAATTGATACCAGTATCATTAAGTAATTATTTAAGCAATTTGATAACAGTGATTTATTAGAATTAATTGGAATGAATTTTCAACTAAATAACATACGTTGGAAAATAAATATGGATAGAAATCATCATATTTTATAAACGGTTATTTGGTCTTTTGTTTGGAAAAGTAGATGGTCTATACTGTGAATGTGGGATTTTTTAAGAAATCCTCCCATAAATGCCAATGTTTATATATATATATATATATGCGCCATAGGTAATGTAATCAGTAATGCCAATCATTAACCTGCATAATTAATTGCGGAGAGGAACTAATTTAGCAACTTATATGACTAGTTGTTTTTAGTGTACTTCCTATGTATTCAAACTTTAAGCAAGAGAGCTTAGTCTTGGTTAACTTAACCAATGGAATCTCGGATTACCAGTTTGTTTGATTTTTATATCAACCTAGATTTTATCCAACTTTTTAGACTCCAATCATCTACTTAGGTTATCACTATTAATATTAAAAATATAAATTCATTCTTACGAGTTAAACAAGCAGAATTTTATCAATTCTTAAGATGTATATCTTAAAGATAAGAAGCACGTGACTGTCACTCGCTATCAAAACAAAACGACAGTGTTATTGGGTGGGGGGGGATAAAGAAAAATAATAAATAGTTGGTTAGTTATGTTGCTAAATGAGTCTACTGGTTGACAGTGAACAGTATCATGTTACCTGATCTTTAGTGATGATCATATTTCATTGACCAGGTGTAAAATGTGAAAAATAAGTCTTATAACTCCATGTTATTTAGAAAATGTGTTTGGTGGTCTTCGTACTGACCAGAGATAAAGTAGTTATTAGTTCAACCAATTATCCGGGTGTTTCTACTGATATGCAATTAATCCTAATGACTGTCGTTGTAAAGAAATTTGAAGTTTTGAACTTAACCTAGTCTGAGCTAACTTTAATATATAAAAATTGAAACACTGATATATGTAAAAAGAATATTCCTCCCGATGAATTTTTTCAGATTCTACATTAATATACTCAAGTTAATAAACCAAGAAATGCCCACGTCTAAGGAAAAATACATCATTTCAACTTACAGCGTGCACATTCGGGATTACTTGTAAAGTAAAATAAAATTGTTAATTTTGAGATGATCAATATAGTGTTAACTTGAATTTTTGGATGAATGTAGATAATATACAATGAGATGATAGTGTTCACATTCATAACCCTGCACGCGGGAATCAAAATCAAGACTTTCGGTTTCTCATGCGAACACTTAACTTTTAATCTGCTTAGCCACTGATGTGGGATTCAACGGTGTTAAGATAAGTTTAAGTTGTGAAAATACAAATAGGAAGGTTTTATCCACACTAATCAAATTATTTCATCATGTCGTCAAAACGCTTGTTAACTAATTAAACCAGAAGTTCGTCAAGGTGAAAAAGGGGTTAAACATATATTTTCTGGATGCGAAACTCAGGTTGTTTGATGCGAATGTCTACCACTTCAGCCAATTTAAAGAGTCAGTCTGACAGATTTAAGTAAATGGCTAATAACGCGATAAATATATTGTAATTGATTTTTTCATATCCATACGACCTGTTTATACTAAATTCGCTAGAGTCGAGACGTTAACAGTCTTAACTATTCCTTTACTTAAATATACTGGCAGGTGCTCTCAACAACGAAAATACAAATCCTTAGAACCCCTGCAAATATATCTTGCCCCACAAGAGCAGTTGCATAGATAGATACGGAGGTGGGTTGTCTAGGTAATTTAACCTTAAATCTCTGAGCAACCATAGGACGTGTAGAAAACATTAATTTCAGTTTCCCTTTATTAAAGGTTTTTTAAAATGCTCTGTGCACTAGCCTTAGCGTTTCACTGAATGCATCCCCTCTAAATTGTAGGCGTATAAATAGAGACCTTCGATCACAGTTTCGACTTCCTTTCTCTGTATTTCCTTGGTTCATTTTTCAGATTTATCCAATTTGCAACAGAGCATTACTCAGCTTAGATATAAAAACCCCCCACTGTTTTGAGATCACTTAATTTCGATATGATTTGATTCATAGGTTACTTTATTTTAATTTGAACATATGAGTTTGATGTTATTCCCCTTAATTCACTTTTTTGTCATTATCAAAACATAAGTAAGAGATAATAAGCTAATACATCAGTAAATTAACAAACAAGTGAATAAATGAATGAATGAGTGTATGGATAAATGATCTATCATTAAAACTGAGAAACACAGATACATCATGGTATATCATAAAAAAGATTTATTGATCACAAATATGGAAACAAAAATAGTATTGAAAATGTCAGTCCACATAATCTACATTTGGTTCATCTCACTTGTTATCCTCGTAGCATAATACCCGAACAAAAAATTGGACATCGAATATATAGTGAATATTATTATTGGTGTTAGTTGCTATTAGTAATGACAGTAGAATGAAGAACAAAATAAGTCTATGCATCCAATTAGAATTATTGATCATGTGTACTGTCGATACACAAATGCAGAATTATACTCATATACTTTTCTTAATAGAAGTTACATTTTGATACCAATAGGTTTGAGAGATATAATAATTATTATGGTATGACTTCTCATAAGTAGTGAATTAAATCAACCAATCAGTGAATAAATGATGGAACAAATATACTTAAAAATACCAGAACTATCAACAACTAGAAATATTCCTTTTTTGCAATAAATCAACTAGAAACTATGATGATTAGATTGTTAGTTTTAAGTTTTTTATTTGTTAAATCTTTCACTGATCTATATGTAATAAAATAGAGTTTCATTTCTTTTGTTTTCATCTCTCAACATGTTGACTCATAAATTATTATTAATGTTATCTATAAAACATATGAGAGGAGAAAAGAAAGCCAGAGCAAAGGAATAAAATAGAGAAGAAACTAATTTCTTTGTTCTTATTATGATGACGGATGATTATGTAGTGCTGTTTTGTTCTTAACTTGACTTCTGTTTTCTCATCATGAAAGAAGTTAAGTTATGTCTAAAACTATTCCCTCCAGCT